CCCTGGGGGCCATCCTTCTCATGCCCAGGTGCCCTCATGCCCACACCCCCCACTTCTCTGCTCCCCCTCTCCTCCTCTTGGTGCCCTCTGACCCCCAAGGCCTGAAGGCCTGGCTCCATCTGATCAGTTCTCTCCCCACGACAGGCTGTGCTTCGCCCAAGATCCACGTGGACTGTGACAATCTCACAGCCTTGACCACCCGGACGCCTCACCCCGTCAGCTGCCAGAGCCTGGGGAGCGGCTACGTGAGTTGGGAGAACACACTGTCTGCGGCCTCCTGAGCAGGCCAGACCTGGGCTTGTCCTTCCCGGCTGGGCTTTTCTCACTCCTTGAGTGCAGTTCTCGTCCGTGCTCGCTGCTCTTGGTGGAGGCCCGAGGCCCAGACTGGGGTAGGGGGGCAGGGGCAACTTCTGCCAGCAGTCCTGGGCTCCCGCTAGCCTCGGTCTTGATGTCTGGGACACGCGCGCACACACACACGCACATGCACACACACACACACGCACAAGCGCTGGTGGAGACCTCTACCTTGCTTCAGGGAGGTTACACAGGGTCTCCCACATGCCTCTCCACCCCATGGTGGAATGCTCTTTAGCGCAGACCCATTTAGCGTCCTGCAGAGCCAGCTCTTATCGGCCAGTCCTCCTGAGAGTTCCCTTGGTTTTGTACAGCTCAGCAGCCTGAAGGCAGAGGGAGCTCTTTGCACGGACAAAAGGTCTGCAGTGATGCTCATTAGGCCCAGGCCTCTGCCTAGAAGCTGGGTGTTTTGTGGGGTGCCCTGGCAGGAGCTGCCCTCTCCTGGGGACAGATGCCTGGGCTCAGCTTGGTGGCCTCCCTGAAGGGGGCTGTAACTCGGGCTCCCTTTGCCTATTCCCCAGTACCAAACCGAATGTGTCAGTGGCTGCATGTGCCCCCCTGGGCTGATTGATGATGGCCAAGGTGGCTGTGTTGTGGAGGAAGAGTGCCCGTGTGTCCACAACAAAGTGCTCTATTCACCTGGGCAGAAGATCACTGTGGACTGTAATACATGGTGAGAGAACCGGGGGCTGCCTCCAGGCCTCAGCGCCCTGACTTGGAGACCCTGTTCACAGCATGGTAGCACGCCGAGTCAGGGCCCTCCCATTGGAAGGATAGAGGAGCTCCCTAGCCCCTCCTTCTGCTCCTGCTCCCTCTGCATCTCCTGCCTGCCCCTCTGGCCAGGATCCAGCCCTTTCCCCAGGGAGCTCAGTTGACTGGTATTAGCCAAGCCTGTGGACAAGGCAGGGTCCTAGGAGTGGCTCCCCTAGCCAGGCACTTTCAAGCCTGGGTATAGGGACCTTTGCCCCCGGCATCTGGTGGAGCGGGCCTGGCAGGCAGCCTGTGAGATGGTGAATGCTTTCAGGCCTGGCCTGCCCATGGAAAGGCCTCATGCACATGGGCTTCCCGTAAAGCCAGAGGAGCACTGGGCTAGAATCCCAGCTCTGCTGATTGCTGTGTGACCTTGGACAAGGCCTCAGTTCCCCTGTCCCTGAGATGGAAACCATGCCAGCTGCAGTCCTGACCTCAGAGGGCTCTTGTGTAAATCTTGGTATGCCCTAGACATGGGGGCTTCTAGTGGAGGCTCCCAACCGGGAGGAGCCAGTGCTCCCCTCCAAGCTGACACATGGCCTGGCTCCCCGGAGTCCTGAAGCCTCTTCTGTCTCCCCAGCACCTGCCAGAGAGGGAGTTGGGTGTGCACCAAGTCTGTGTGCCATGGGACGTGCTCCATCTATGGAAGCGGCCATTACATCACATTTGACGGAAAGTACTATGACTTCGATGGACACTGCTCCTACGTGGCAGCCCAGGTGAGGGCAGGAGGCAGGATGAGTTCCCTGCTCACCCAGGTAGGGCCTCTTTAGCCCCACCCAAGCCAGGGCCACAAGCATCCATTAAGCGCCTACTTTGTGGTGGTGGGAGATACACCCTTGCCCGCCAAGGAACACGGCCTCCCGCTTCAGGCGTGCTTTGGCTGGCCGAGAGCCACGAGGCCTGGCGGTGCCCATGCTCCCCTGTCCGGCTGCGTTCCTCCCCTGCCCCCCACGCCAGTACATCAGGGAGGGTGCTGCCTTCACCCTCACTCTCTCCTGATTTCCTCCCTCTCTAGGACTACTGCGGTCAGAAAGGCTCTCGGGGCTCCTTCAGCATCATCACAGAAAATGTGCCCTGTGGAACCACGGGCGTGACCTGCTCCAAAGCCATTAAGATCTTCCTCGGAGTAAGTACTGCAGTACTGTGGCTCGGACACGGGAGCATGACAGTAGCCCTTTAGGCTCTGTCCACCAGGGGGCGCACGTGTGCGGGGGTGTGTGTGTGTACATGTGTATGTGCGTGTGTGCGCATATGTGTGAGTGTGCGTGTGCACGTGTGTGTTTGTGTGTATGTGTGTGTGAGAAGAGGAGCTCCTGCTGAGAACAACTAATAAAGCGTTCTCCCTTTTGGCTCTGTCCACCAGGGGGCGCTTGTGTGTGTGTGGGCGTGTGTGTATGCATGTGCGTGTGTGCGCGCGTGTGAGTGTGTGTGTCTACCAGGGGGCGCACGCATGTGTGTGCGTGTGAGTGTGCATGTGCGTGTATGTGTATGTGAGAAGAGGAGCTCCTGCTGAGAACAACTAATGAAGTGTTCTCCCTTTTGGCTCTGTCCACCAGGGGGCACTTGTGTGTGTGTGTGTGCGTGTGTGTGTGTGTGTGTGTGTGTGCGCGTGCATGTGTGTGTGCGTATGTGTGTGTGACAAGAGGAGCTCCTGCTGAGAACAACTAATGAAGCGTTCTCCCTTTTGGCTCTGTCCACCAGGGGGCGCTTATGTGTGTGTGTATGTGTGTGTGTGTGTGGGCGTGTGCGTGTGCGTGTGCGTGTGTGTGTATGTGTATGTGAGAAGAGGAGCTCCTGCTGAGAACAACTAATGAAGTGTTCTCCCTTTTGGCTCTGTCCACCAGGGGTGCTCAGTGTGTGTGAGTGGGGGTGAGAGGAGGGTTGGGGAGCGGGCGCCCCTGCTGATACCAGCTAATGACGCTGCTCTATTCGGTGCCCTGCAGAGAACTGAGCTAAAGCTGGAGGAGAAGCACCGATGGGTGATTTACCGGGACGTTGGGGAGCACGTGTCTTACACCACCCGGGAGGTGGGCCAGTACCTGGTCATTGAGGCCAGCAATGGCATCATTGTCATCTGGGACAAGAGGACCACCATCTTCATCAAGCTTGCCCCGACCTTCAAGGTGAGAGTTTTGGAGCCCCAGCTGAGCCTCCCCCCAGGGGGAGACACCCCTAGGACCAGGGAGAGAGCCATTGAGCCCAAACTCCTTAGTTTACAGATGAGGCAGCTGACGTCCCGAGAGGCCAAAGGCCTGCCCAGAGTCACAGTTAATGTCTGAGGTAGAATCTGAACCCAGGTCTCCCTGAGTCCCAGTTCAGTGACATATTCACCCCACGATGTTTATTTGAGAATTTCACTTTATCCTCCATCAGTGTTTGTCCTCGTCCTACCTCAGGATTTAGAGATGGGGGGACCTCAGCCACCATTGAGTGCCCCCTCAATTTACAGAGGAGCACATCAAGACCTGAAGAAGGAGATGACTTGGCCAAGGTCACATAGGAAGTGAGCAGCAGAGGCGATATTTGAAGCCAGGCCCTCTGACTCCAAATGCAGGCACCCCTCCAACCTTGGCATGTCACCCTGGCAGAGGGCTGATCCCAAAGATATGTCCCATCTCATGGTGTGCAATCAGGGTAGCCCTGCTTCTTGGCCCCACCAAGATGAAAGGAGGGGTGTGTATGTTGGGGGAGGATGAGGAAGGAAAGGCCTTCCCCCTGAGCCTGACCCATTTCGAGAGCAGCCCCACTTTGGGGCAATGGACACCAGTGTGACCCTGACCTCTCAGCCGTCACGGGCTAGCCCCGCCACAAAACAAGAGCCCAGCTTTCCTGATCCAGCTTGGGGCATGTTGCAGGGGCCGCTTGGGCCCTTAGGAGGGACGGGCCTGGAGGGGCAATGTCCACTAGATGAGCAGGTGGCGAGAGTGGGCTGTGGTTCTGGCCACGTGACTGTCCCGGCAAGGAGACAGCTGAGATGTGCTGGACAGAGGCTGGAAGTGGGAGCGAGGCCAGAATTCCTCCCTGCCCTCCCCTCCTGGCTTCTGACACACGACTACATGAGTGCACACACATGTGCATCCTCCTGAGGTGACCCCAGATTGCCTTCGTAGGGTGCCGTGTGCGGCTTGTGTGGCGACTTTGACGACCGCTCTAGCAATGACTTCACCACAAGGGATCACATGATCGTCACCAGTGCCCTGGACTTCGGGAACAGCTGGAAGGAGGCCCACACCTGTCCAGACGTGGACAAGACCTTCGAACCGTGCGCCGTGAACCCCCACCGCCGGTCCTGGGCAGAGAAACAGTGCAGCATTCTGAAGAGCCAAGTGTTTGGCGTCTGTCACAGCAAGGTGGGTGGGCAGTCCTGGGGGGAATACAGGCAGGACAGGAAGGAGGACAGGCTGCTGCCCCCCTTCCCGGGAGGGGGTGATGAAGGGAATTCATCAACACAGATGGCCAAGGGAGAGTGGCTGGACAGCTGCCCCATAACTTCTATACCCTGGTGCGGACTAGTTTCCCTGGGCTGAGTTAGAGTCTAAGGAAGAGCTAGGTCAGGGCCCAGGCAGTCATCACAGTTACTCCATGTCCTAGTGGGCATACTGTGTCTGGAGATCCTCCATCACCCTCACTGCCTAGGACAGCGTGCTCTGAACACCACAAGCAGACCTTTGGTGCTGAATTCTGAAAGGAGTGGATGCATGGATAGATGGTCACCCTGATGTGATCTTGGAGGCTATGCTTGACCTACCCTCTGACAAGATGGGCAAGATGTGGGCCACAGAACCACAGAAATGTTATTGCTGGCCCCCTTTGGTAGTTACCCTGGCTCCTGAGACTTTGGGAGTCATCTGGAGGCAGCATCCCATTCTTTCAATTCAAGGAAAAACAACAGTTCTTTCTTTCAAACTTGCCAGTGTGTGTGTGTGTGTGTGTGTGTGTGTGTGTGTGCATGTGTGTGTGTGCATGTGTGTGTGTGTGTGTGTGAGAGAGAGAGAGAGAGAGAGAGAGAGAGACAAAGAGAGAGACAGAGACAGAGACAGAGACAGAGACAGAGACAGAAGGAAACAGAAGGGGGAGAGGGAGGGAGGAAAGGAGGGAGGGAGGGGGAGAGAGACAGAGAGACAGAGGGAAAGCGAGAGAGAGACAGAGACAGAAAGAAGGAGACAGAGAGAGAGAGACAGAGACAGAGAGGAGGGAGGGGGAGAGACAGAGACAGAGAGAGACAGAGAGGAGGGAGGGGGAGAGAGAGACAGAGACAGAGAGGAGGAGGGGCAGAGAGAGGTGAGGGTGAGAAGCAGGTGAGTCTCACACAAGTTGGAATCTGAGTAGTGGATCGGCTCAGAACGACAGTTGGAGCAGTCAGACTTCTGGGCGTCCAGGGAGGGACACCCCGGGGCTTCTCGGCGCTGGAGGGACGCATAGGTGTGTTTCGCTGACAGGTGGATCCCGCTCCTTTCTACGATGCCTGCGTCCATGACTCCTGCTCCTGCGACACAGGGGGCGACTGCGAATGCTTCTGCGCCGCCGTGGCCTCCTACGCCCAGGAGTGCACCAAGGAGGGGGCTTGCGTCTTTTGGAGGAGCCCCGACCTGTGCCGTAAGTTCTGGCTTCCGTGGAGCGGGGACCTCTCCTTCCCAGGGAGGCGCTGCTTTGCCATCGTCGCTTCTGTGAGGCAATCCCTGGGTTTCTGAATGTAAGGAACAAGGACGTTGGCCCCTAGAGGCTGGCAGGGTGGAGGCGGGGCAAGGCTGCTTCTGTCCTCGCCTCCTCCCCACCCTCCCGGGTCCCGCGGCGGGGTCGTTTCCTTTTCGTCTGCCCGCACAGTTTGGTGACTAGCTCCTCTCTCCCTCCGCTCCCTCCCAGCGATATTCTGTGACTATTACAACCCCCCCAACGAGTGTGAATGGCACTATGAGCCCTGTGGGAACCGAAGCTTTGAGACGTGCCGCACCATCAATGGCATCCACTCCAACATCTCCGTGTCCTACCTAGAAGGTAGAGTCCCCGACTCCTGCCCTGAGGACCTTGCTGGGGATGAGGCCTGGACTCTGGGGCTGGAGGGGGCTGCCAACCCGCACACGGGGCTTCCTCCCTTCTTACCACCTGGGAGGGTGATTGCTGAAGGGGCATGCCCACACCCCATCCTCAGCCTGTGCTGGGAGGGTAGAAAGCCAAGGCACAATCCTCCTCAGTAAGAGGGAAAAGTCTCCCTGGCTGGAGGAGAGAGATCCCCTTCGTGTCCGCGGTGGAGGGGCCATGTCTAGCATTGAGATGTCTTGGGAGGACAGCAACTCGGAACAGTGACCAGAACAGGCATGCAGGGTGACCCTCCGGGAATGCTCTTTCAGGAATGGGCAGGTGAGGCGTTTCAGAGGAGGGTCAAAGGCCCTTCGCTTCCTTCACTGTCTGAGCCACAAAGCTGGCTCCTTCCGCCTTCTGTCACCCATAGGCTGCTATCCCAGGTGCCCTCCAAAAAGGCCTGTCTTTGATGAAGACAAGAAAAAGTGTGTGCCTGCTGACCAGTGTGGCTGCTACGTGAATGATGAGCATTACGAAGTTGACGAAAAGGTCCCCACGGAGGATCCCTGCCAGTCTTGGTGAGGACGCTGCCTGTTGTGCTGGGCCTGCAGTATCAGCTTGCCTCGGTCCCTTCTTTGAGGCCCTTCCCGAGAGGGAAGTCAGCCTCCCCCACCCCCTGGAAGTCTCCCATCTCCCACCTCGCCACCTTCCCCCTTTTGTCCCCTGCTGCCTCCTGGACCCTGAGAAAGGGGACATGGACAGAAGCTTCTAGTTTCCTTGGTCCCTTTTTGCTCAACTTGCTTCCCAGTGCAGAGCATTGGAGGTGGGGGGTGGGCAGCAAGGGAGAATCCATTAACCAAAGCTCCAGATGGGCAATAGAGGGGGCCTGGAAGAAGGAGGGGCTCACCCAGCCACATAACCCCAGTCACAGTTACTCCATCATTTCATGCCATCCCAATCAATGTTTATTAAGCACCTACCATGTGCCAGACACTAAGCTAAGTGCTGGGGATACAATTAATAAAAAGAAAGACAGTCCCTGCCCTCCAAGAGCTTACACTCCAATGAAGGGAGGGAAACACCCTACCCAAGGAGGCAGGAAAGCCAGGGGTGGGGCTGGAGGGATGACACCAGGGGATCAGGCAGGGGGGAGCATCTTGTTCCACGGAGTTGAAACCAGCAGGCGCCAAGTGGAGGCTGAGAGCAATGGGTAAGGACTGTAAGACTGTGTAAGGTCTGAGACCAAAGGTCGACAGCCTTTTGCAAGTCATCTGCCAAGATACAAATGCCTAGTGTGGGTTTAGCTATTTCATTGTAGCTTCAAGAAGCCAATCTCCTCCTCATATCCCACCAGTTAAAGAGCCACTTGCCAACACCTGGAGGCGAGGTCTAAAGTTTATTAACATTTATTATGTATTATATTAATATATGATCATATATTAATGTATCATATTATTATCTGATAAATATATAAAGTCATTACTGTTATATTAAAGCTATCTAACATTATTAATACCTTAGTGTGAATTAAACTAACCAAGTTATCAAGTTTGTGAACTGGCAGTTGGAGGAGTGAGGAGGGTGGAGAGAAGCGGGATATTGGAACGGGGCGCTTGAGGGAGGGCAGGTCTAGCTAGAGGGCTGCAGTGAGGTCTTTGGATAGCCAGAAGAAAAAATGAGGATCTTGGGTGGAAATGGAAAGAGAATGCCCGGGGGTGGCTGAGGAATGAGAAAGGAGGTGAGAAAGTCAGCCACAGTGGGTGCAAAAACTTGTCCACTGTGCCATTTAGCTACAGCCTGCTCTGGTGCCTCAGGGGAATCCCGGCCCTCTGGCATGACCCCCAGGTAGCTGGCAGACTTGGGGCCCAGAGCCTGGGCTCTCTGAATCCTTTTCTTTCTTTGCAGCATTTGCACGTCATCTTCTGAGGTCTCATGTAAGGAGGAGATAGGTAATGAGCTTTTCCATCTTTCCATGTGGACTTTACTGACCATAGGCTGAATGAATGAATGAATGAATGAACGAATGAATGGCCTACCTGAGGAGGGGTTCCACCTGGCCCCATAGCACCAGTGGCTAAACTGAGTAATTGAAGACAATGCCATGAGAGAATGGAAGGTGACTTGCTGAGAACAACCCCTGGGAGCAGGCTCTGAGATCAGAGGTGCTCCATCTCTCTGGTACCATCTTCCTCCCAAGTCCTGGATTTGGAGTCAGGGGCCATGGGTCAGAGGCCTGGCCACTTAGACTATCTGTGTGGACCTCAATGAGCCTCAGTGAATCAAGGGGATTGGCCCTGGGGGCCCTGTCCTCCTTTTAGTCTCTGTTCCCATGAACAGGTCCTTTCCTCTCCCTGCCTCAGGATCCTTCTTCATTTCATTTGCCCCTCCAGTCCCATTCCTGTCCTGAAGCATCTCTCTCCTTCCTGACTCTTCCTTTACTCTCAGGATTGTGCTGATCTGTGGTTTTCAGACCCCCAAGGTCTACATAGTTGGGGGGTAAGGGGAGAAGGAGGGGCTCTTTCGGGCTGAATGTGATGTGAGGGTGTCTGGCTTTGCCACGGCATGACTGAAGACTGTCTGGTGGCAGCATCCTCTAAGTTGGCCCCTTTCCTGCTCCTTGTTCTCTCAGGGGCAGTAATTAACCAGACTCAGAATGGGTCCTTCTGCTTTTGGGAGCTGTGTGGTCCCAACGGCACTGTGACCCAGTATTTCAACATCTGTGCTCCAACCTCGCCTCCTACTGTCTTGACCGTGTCAACCACCTCGGTGACCACCACCTCTCCCACCACGACTTTCCCTACCACCACCACCAGCAGAAGCACAGGTACAGTCCCCATCTCCTGCCACCTGGTGAATGGGGCAGAGAGAGGTTCTCTGAGGGCAGGGCTGTGCCCAGTGACTTCAAGTGGCAGAGAAGGGCGTGAGGTGAGCCTTGGAGGAGGTTGGGGGAGGGGAAAGTCAGAGTCTGGGAATCTCCACATCCCTAGCCCAATGTCAGTGATCCTTCTGGTCTCTAGACTCTCCAGCTGAGATAGCAATGCCAGGGCTTCAGGCCCCCACCCCCAAAGAAGGCCTTTAATGGGAGCAGATTTGGGCGGTCCCCATGAATGGTCCAGGAAGCTGAGAGCTGCAGGAGAGGCAGGGGGTGGGCCTGTCTGTGAGAGCTGAAGGGCCACACATCGGGCTGGAGTCTGAGCTCTGTCCCACTGCCAGCGTGCCCTAGGTGGGGAGGGGGGATGACCTGGGCCATTGCAGAGCTCTGACACGTGTGACACAATGTTATTTCTTTTCCTTTTTTATTTTTGCTGCAGTCTCTCCTCCATCTACTACTCCAAGTAAGTCACATTCAGGATAGCTTTTTTTTTTCTATTTTTTTTTAAATTTTTGGGCAATTGGGGTTAAGTGACTTGCCCACAGTCACACAGCTAGTAACTGTCAAGTGTTTGGTCTGAAGCCGGATTTGAACTCAGGTCCTCCTGGCTTCAGGGCCAGTGCTCTATCCACTGTGCCACCTAGCTGCCCCCCAGGATAGCTTTTGATGACAGATTACATGCAAGGAAGGGAGGAGGTAGCCAACAATCCCCCTGCCCCCCCCCCAATTGAGAGTAGAATCTCTCTACACCCAGCCTTCAAGGCCACAGCCAAACTTCTAAATAAAAGCAAACCAGGTGATTCTGAAGCTGGCGGGTGGGGGGGGGGGGCTGGAACAGGCTCGGCTCCATGATGGAGAAGCTGAGTTTTAATAGAATCCTTAAGTGGTAGTTTTGGAACAGGTCTCAGTTTCCCAATTTGTCTGATGAAAGGCTTTCACTAGATGACCTCTGTGGTCCTAGGAGTCTCTGAGAAATCGAAAGCTGGCAAGGAGGGTCATTTTACCATGGTGTGGCAAAGGCCCCTGCAGTATACTAAGGGCATGAGCTACACCCCCCACCCTGCTTTGGGTTGTCTTCCCTTCCCCCACCCCCAGCCCCATGCAAGCATCAAATAGTGACTTTTATTTTCCTTTCTAGAAATTTGCTGTTTTTGGTCTGACTGGATTAATGAGGATCATCCCAACACTGGCAGCAATGATGGTGACTGGGAAAGGTTTTATGGGGTGTGCAGTGCCCCTGAAAACATTGAGTGCAGGTCAGCTGAGGAACCCCATCTCAGCTGGGACCAGCTCGGTCAGAAGGTGCAGTGTGATGTCTCTTTTGGACTCATCTGCCACAATGAAGACCAGTTTGAAAATGGACCATTTGGCCTTTGTTATGACTATGAAATTCGGGTCAATTGTTGTCTGCCCATGGATCACTGCCCAACGACAACAACAAGTATTACTACAACACCAGGTCCAACCACTACGGTGACAACTGTCAGTCCTACAACTGGAACAACGCCTGGGACACTTGCTCCTCCAACTCCAACTACTGTCTCAAATATGTCATCAACCTCCACCACCAAGACCCCCACTATTCCAACCACCACTGAGACCCCAACCACCACCACCACTACTACCATCACAGAAAGCCCCATTCCAACCACCATCACCACTACGGAGACTCCCACTACTCCAGCCACCA